CTAGGGATAGCACTACCAGGTCAAAAGACAAATTGAAAACTAGTACACAACTCTTTTTTTTTTTTACATGAAAACATCAAATGAAAGGTCACTGCCAGAAATACAGTGCTGGAGTTGACAATCTGTAACCGAGAGGTAGGAGCACACAAGTATAGTGTTTTAAAAAAAATATGTTTTGTTATCCAATGGTGCTTTTTTATTAGTTGAAGGAAAGCCTGTATGCGTAAATACTATCAAGACCCATTGAAAGAGCTGTCAAATGATTAGCTGAACCCTAAGGTATTCTTCTGTGCAATTTGAACAATTTCACTTCCTGAATTACACAGATAATGAATGTCAAAATTATGACATAATAGTTTCCTTTCAGTAGACAGTTTTTTTTAAATAGTATAAAAGTCCATGTCTGGTTGAATCGATCAGATTTAGACACGAGATCACACTCAGGCAAGTCAGCTGTGACAGACAGCCAGCATTCTGTTTCTTGCAATGATGGGAGAGTTTAAGACATCCTTTGTAGTCCATTCCCATCAACTCATCTGTCGGTGTACACATGAGAGATGACAACACAAGAAGAAGATTAAAAGGACCAACTTTAACAATTATAATGTAAACATAAATTCCAGGATAAAACTGATCTTTTACATAAAATTTCCTCCCTAATTTTTGAATATATTAAACACCATTCAGAAGCACATTTTACTTCACACCAATCAGAAGCACATTTTCTGACACCATTCAGAAGCACATATATTTTACACCATTCAGGAGCACAATTTCTGACACCATTCAGAAGCACATTTTACTTCACACCTCTCAGAAGCACATTTTATTTACTTCACACCATTCAGAAGCATTTACTGACACCCTTCAGAAACACATTTTACTTCACACCATTCAGAAGCACATTTTCTGACACCATTCAGAAGCACATTTTCTGACACAAATCAAAGCTGAAGAATAAGCGCAAGTGTTACTGTTTTCCATCTTCTACCACAATAAAATTATGTTCCACACATACCAGTCAATAACCGCATGTAACCAGAAATCACCAAATCCACAGAGCACAAAGACTAATATATAAGTTATTTACAGATTATTTCACCTAAGATATTTTCCAGGAATCAAATTTACATTGATAATTCTGTACAGGCATAAAAATGTCAAGTGGAGATTTATTTTAAGTCAGTCATATATGAATCTGAGCTTCTCTAGGGAACCAGTTTTCTGTCCCAGAATATCACAATGTGCAACAGAAAGTAAAGCTGAACTTTCAAAGGGCAAACCTCCCCGTGTGGGTTCCGTGGCCCCATCGTAGGGAAAACAAGAATATTCCGACTGCCTGCCCAAAAGCATGTCAAAAGATTTCAAATGGAAGCCTCCTTTGAAGTCCAAGGACATCTGCCTGAGAGGTAAGGAACCAACATTCTGCAAGCAAATGAGTCAGTGGATGTTCATGCAACACTCGGTTTCTGGAACACAACTAGAGTCCAGAAGAGGACGAACAACTAGAACCTTCCGCCTGAGTTTACAACCAATGAACGTGAAGAAGAAGAAGAAAGGGAAAACTAGCAATCTGATCTATCACACTTGAGAGAAATAAAGAATTATCCAAAGTTGTTCTCCAACCAGGGAAGTTAGAATAAATGCACTGGAACATCACTTTGAGAAGACTGCATTTATTGACACAATGCTTTGCTTATTTTGCACACAAAAAAAATATTAAAAACTGAAACAAACTGCCAGTAAACTCAAACATTTCTGCTGATTCGCCACAAAACAACACATCCTTTCTAGAATAAATTACTGATCTGTGACATCATATCACAACCTCTCCATAACAGAAACATTATGCTGTCAAAACAGGAACAAATTCACACAAAAAAAACAATGTAAAAAAGAAAATCAACCAAATTTGAAGGGAGGAAAAAAAAAGAGAACCAGGCAGCATTAAAAATAAACTTTTATATTATTAGCATGTTACACCCCCAAACAATGATGACAATGTATCAAGCATGGCACGGATAGCTAGCACAGTACAATAACACTTCTATATTCTTGTCACCATATACAGGCTGTTATCAGTTCATGGGCTGATGATCTGTAAATGTATATAATTAAAATCAATAGACATAAATTGATGGCAATCATAAAAAGTAGATAGATGGGACACACTAGACAACATAAAATCAAAAGCTGTAAGTATATGTCAGTGCAAAGTTAGTTCATCATGCATTAAAGTACAAGTGTTCCTGCAGCAAGATGCTATCATCATTTGGAATTGACAGGTTCCAATCCCGGCATGGTAACTAAAGCTTTCACTTTGTTTAGGCTGTCTAGTGCGTCAGATCTCTCTATGTCTTTCTATAAGCGCCAATCAATTCATGCCTATTTGTTTATTATATTATTATGTCTCTAGAGCCTCAGGGGTTCCCAGCCTGTTTATAATTAACCTGTAACTGGGATGTTATGTATTCTCAACCTTACTGTATGGCACAGAGACATGAACAATGAACAAACAACTGGAAAATTGTATCAATTCTTTGGAGATGTGGATATACAGAAGATTAGGTCGCATTTCATGAAAACAAAAGCTATCAAATACAGAGGTACTGAGGAAATTGGGAATGAAAAGAGAGTTGCTATGTGAAATAAAAAAGAGACAAGTGAAATATTTTGGCCACATTAAAAGACATAAAGGTATTGTAAAGATCATCCTAGAGGGAAAGGTTCAAGGTAGGCGAGCAAGAGGCAGACAGCGTTACAAGTGGGAGGATAACATCAAGAGATGGACGAACAGCAGTATGAGAGTGTACATCAAGGGCAAGAGACAGGGCTTGTTGGAGATCCATTGCAGCCAACCTTCATTGTGGAGGCGGCACCTGATTGATTGAACTGGGATGTGGAAGCACACAAGTAAAATCACACCGTTATGCTGTATCGATGAACAGATCAGACCCAGATGGATCAAGTGTCAGCAGGAACTGTTATAGATCAGATTATGTCCCAGTATTTATGTACTTTCTGTGCCATTCATCCAACAAGTCTTAGAATTACAGTAACTGTATGTCTAATATCACACACCTTAATGTGAACATCTGTAACGTATTGACCGAAGTATGCATCAGAGCAAACTTAACCAGTGTCAGAACACCTGGTGGGAAAATAAATCACTTTAACAAAAATGCTGTGTCATGAACGACTCTTAAACCAGCTTTATATTCCGAGAAGAGCAGCTGGCCCAATGAATAAGAACACTAGGCTCTCAATCAGGAGACCCAGGTTTTAATCTTGGGTAATATAATGGATTTTTTTCTGCGAGGGGCAAACATAAATCCTAACCTACACAGATATGGCAACTGCATTAGAAATGCAGCTTTAAACCAGTAAACAGTTTGAATGAACTGAAGAAACCAGAGATGTAAATAATTTTCTCTGTAACCTTTAGACGTAGGCCTGAAAACACTTTTCAGCAGCCAGCTAGAGCTTGCTGAAAACTTCATAAGTTTATGTTCAGATGTTAGCCTGTGTAGGATAGAAACACTGTCTACTATGGCATTTAAACAAACTTTCTCATTTCCTCTTTTACCACTTCAGGTGTCGAGGGAGATATAAGGTTCTGCGCTACTAATCAGAGAATTCTCCCTCATCTCACTCGCTTGCGAGATCTCATGGCCGTTCTATCTTCTAGTGCTGTTATGAGTTGCCTCTCTTAAGTGTCTAGACAGTGTGGTGAGACGTTATTGACGTTCGTTCAACGTGGTCGGCACATTGTCTCCCAGATGCAACAGCGCAGCTTTGTTTTTGCTACCGTCTTTTGTGTGAACGAATGTTGTTTCTGGAGTGTGATGTTGTGAGTAACTCAGGCGCCACAAGCGTCTGTGTATACGAAGTATTGCAGGGGGCGCGCAAAAGTGTGACGGTTCATGGGTATCTAATCATTTATGTTTTTGTATTTCTACGTTCCTTGGCATCAGTCGTCGGTGGTGCATGTGCTTAAAACCTTCAAAACCTGACAACCCTAGCACATAGAACAGCCTGCGGAAATGGCCACGAGACCTCGCGCGCGAGTGATGTTTGATGAATTCCGTGATTAGTACCTGGTTCTGCTTCTTGCCGCCTCAGCCATAGATATAACGTGCTGTTATTGTCCGTTATTTTTCTATCTTGATCTTGGTGGCCTCATGCTCTACGTTCTCTATTAGTGTATGCCTTGTATGGTATGGTGTCACAAGGCATTCTCTCTAAGTGAGCAAATCAATCTGATTTCCTTTCCATCTAATAATGCTTTATTGCTGCAAGGTTCATCAGATGACCTTGTCTTAGAATGTACCTGATACAATGTGATTTGTACAAATCAAATAAAAACCTATACCTGTTAAAATTCTGCAATAAATGTAAAATGGTAAATGTACCCTAGCACCCTTAAACAAATGAACAAATGTGACATGCAGAGCACATTCAACACTGCAGGTATCATAATATGTATCACAGAAACTACCAAAACCTTCAATGTGTTTGGTCATCATTTCATCCATCCCACATTTTGCTGACAAAAGTTTGATTTTGGTTAGGGGGAAAAAACAAGATGTTTCATCTAGGTCAAGTTACATAAGATCCACTCATTCACACTTTTTTAACAATTTATCATGACAAAATAAATACCATTCAGTTCTACAGTCGTATGTAGTTTAATTCAACACCTAATGGATGTGTCTTGAAGTTGAAATGCCATTGTATTGACTAAAGTAGTGTCCATGGCTGGATATGTAATGTCTTGTGAATGTCTGTATGAATGTGTTCTATTGTGTTTAGAACTGTTTCAAGGCACCCATCAACAGTATTTTGTCTTTTCCCCCTCAGACTGGAGAGTTCCAGAAATATGTTCATCAATCCAGTTGGAATCTCAATGAGATTATTTCAGTAAACTAAAACAGAAAAGCAAACAGTAAATGCCGCTCTCATGTTAGAACCTTGTGCTAGCTATCCCTGACTGACACAACTTAGTAACTGCTGACTGTGACAGCTCTTTTATCCCGGTGCTTGGCACGAGCTTTTGTCCTGGCTTTAAAGGCTGCTGCATTGATAAATGTCTGCAACAGAAAGAAAAGAAACCAACAGGTTGTAGAAATTACTCTCACTCCGCAGTTTACTTATTAAAATCAATTTTGTCATGTTTGTATCTTCACAGCATGCAAGTGAAGTCATACCTGTGCATCAGACAGTGTTAGATGATCAGCTACCACTCATTATCGTTATCAAGTGCCTTGCCGACAGGGGTAGACAATCATGCCTCTCCAGTATCCGTGATCTTCAACAGCATGCATCAGTTCATGTGCTGACACCCCTCCATTTCATGGCAAAGGGCTGTCAAGAATGTCAGGCTTTATCTTCTTCTGACTCTTTTTTCAGCAGATCTTTCAAGTGGTCACAACATGTTCTAGGTGCCTTCTTCTCATAACAAGACCAGAAAATGATGACTTGTCTCTGTCATATGTTTATGTCAGGTTGTCTTCGAGCCTTCAACACTTAAAAAAAAACATGTGGGTTGCTCATTTTGACTGACTAAGGAATGTTAAGGATTCTTCTGTAGAACCACATCTCTGATGCCTAATGAAATTGTTTGTCTTGTTTATTAATTTTTAGGATTCCTACCATAATTAAAATTGGCTCTATGTAGCATGCCAGAATTATTTTGTAACCTTCAATGACGTGTATTTATAACATAAAAAGTAGTTCATTTTATAAACTGCAGTTGTGGCCTATACTGTTGTTCTTTATCTCTGTGATGCATCTTCCGCTGGATGTTATTCATGTGCCTAGATATTTAAATTCCTGTACTTGTCCTAAAATAACGCCGTTAATTGTACACATTTAGACACTTTTTGGTGTTTTTTTTATAATACCATTACTTCTGTCTTATTATTCAAGCTGAGGCTTAAAGGCATGATATACTAGTGAAAATACAATAATGGCCTCCCCCGTCTTCTGCTGGTTTGTGTACAGCTTGACTTCAATAGGCTTTGTCTAAACAGACATACCTTGCAAGGCAGCATGATGGAGGTTTGCACCTATCACCCAATGATGGCCATGTCACAAAGCTACAACCATCATCATTATCAAAATAATGGTTTACACAGATCATAAGTTTTGAGAATTCAATGAACTGCATTGAGACGAACAGTTAAAGATGGCAGAGAATTCATGTTAAATGGTGGGATTAAAATGAAGAGAAGCAGGAAAAAGAAGGCATATAACAGTAAATCTTAGTGATAAATAAGTATGAACTGTCAAACATAATGGCAGTCATACCTACCCTCTGAGCTTTTGAAAGGGATCTGGTGTGACTGTAATCATCCAGGCCTGGAGCACCCAAGTCAAAAATCTCTCGCAAGATTGGATTAGCCTGTGGAAAAAGCAATGCCCTCTTTTTATAATATATATTCCCAAAAAAATTTTCTACACAAAAGGACAGATTTGAAAGCAACTATTATGAAGGATATGTTATTTTTGCTTAAATTTCTTTTTTAAAATTGTCACAAAATAATTGTAAAATATTTGCTTTTGTAATAATTCCCAGATTGTTGAAAACATGGTTCTTTTATTCCCCCCCCCCCCCCCCCAATTCTAGGGACTCCTAGATTTTATAGGAAATTTCAGGGAAAGCCAAATATGATGGGGGGTGTGGGGTTTAGGGTTAATGTCAGTAGGTGTTCATCTGGGCTTTTTGGGGGGAAATTCCCCAGAAAATCTCGGCAATCCCCAAAATGGAGTGAAATGAACGAGAAGAACCTTAAAATTAAGTCTCAGGAGACAGACCCCATTCAATGTATAAATGAAACAAAATTCTTACCTTCATATGGACCAACATGCCAGTCATCAGAACATGACACAGGGTATCATACTGTCGCTTCTGTGTCCAGCTATTTAGTTCTAGCAGATTTTCCTTTCCCAGTTTTACTGCCTCACTCGGACTTTCTTTTTCCTAAGAATTCAAAACAAATTACAGAAAATCTAATAAAATGTCCAGCATCAAAAAGTAGATTAAAGTCCACCTTTCTTTTTCTGATTCTTATCCCCACTAAAGTATCAGAACTCTCCACTCATGCAAAGCCCTACTTCAGCCACCTTCATGCCCTTCCCACACTATTCATCTCTATTTCCTTCCTGGTTTGGTTTCAACAAGGGAAGTAAACCATAGGTGCTCCGTTCTAACTCAAGCCAGAGTCTAAAGAATCTCATCGTAGTGCACATGAGGATCCTGAAAATACTTTGGGTCGATTTTAACTCCAAATTTTGCATGGGCAGCGAAATGGGCTACTCTTTTCGATTTCCAACTGCCCAATTTTTTTTTTTTTTTGCGTGCACAACAATACACATGGGCGTCCAATCTTACTACCCAGACCAGGGAAAAATTACTAGAAGCCCACATGAAAAAATCCCAGCCTTCACCTGGGCTTGAACCCGAGACCTCCAGCACTCAAGGTGGACACCATGCCTCATCAAGACCACTCAGCCTTCTATTCCCTTCACACTAGTTGTCAAGAGACTCTATCAACGCTATTGTCATAACTGTAACAGACACTGAAAGCATGCTGAGAAAGTGAAGACGGGGATGCTTCGAGCAAAGTGGCAAGCTTCACTCGGAAGGTCATAGGTAGGGAACATACTTTGAATCTTTTCTCCAGGCAACGCCAGCATGGTGGGGAATGAACAGGCAGATTGGCTGGATCTGCACCATTGGGTGGTGAACTAATACATGACAAGGCAGATGTGGGGTAGGCCATTTGGGAACTAACAATGAAGTCAGAAGATAGACTGGATTATTAAGCCTGGAGTGAATGATGCACCTGGATGTGACCAGAGGGTCTGACCGGCACACTGCACTCAGATGAAAGGTAAGACGAACATACAAGCAGACTACAACTGGTACCATTAGTATTGGAACTCTGCAATTGCTGCTGAAGATGGGGAGGGAGCGCATATTGGAATACCCTGAGCGCTGTGATGTCAATTCTTAACTTAACACATGTGGTGTGTCTGATGCAAAATCAGTGTCATTTCTTTATCTTTTAATTCCCTGAAATTTATTCAGTTCTCTACATAAGCACCACAAATAAGTGATGCTGTCACACCTAATTTAGTCTTAGACTCATGTCTCTTATTCATATATCAGTAATTATTTCACATAAGGCAGCTGATAAATTCAGCATAATTTCTGTGATATCAAGAAAACAACACAAAACAATTACAACATTTGGGATTAGATGTATAAGAAATGTGGCTTATTTCATTTGAACACGATTAGCAACCAAAAAATAACATAAAAATCAGCCACATAACTGAGACAGATTCTGTTGGAATCAAAGCAATCTAAGATCAACACAAAATGTTCATGCACACAACAGAGCTTTTAGGAGTCAGCTGGGCATTAGCGACCAGATACTCACCTAGGCTCCAAATGCAATGAGCTCAAATCCACACTAAGTCCGATTTTTTTTCAATAATGACCTGGATTCCAGGTCGACTGAGCTAAAATAGGTACCATGTTTTTTTTTTTAAAGTCGTGGGAAGTAAATGTTGCCAGCATGATGTTCACCACACACCACCCACCCAGTACAGACTGGTCTATAAGCTAGGACATGGAAAAAGGCCCTTTACATTAATATAGAACTATTACAACTGCAAACCTACCACAACATAACCTTGAACATCCCTAAAGCATGACCGCTGCTGACGGCGATCTTTCTTGGCTCTGTGTTTTACAGAGTCTGTTGCCAACTGTTTCAATAGTTCAAACAATGCGACTTCATCCTCGTGTTCAAAGTCCTAAATTACAATGTAAAAAGAAAACAGTTAATTAGACTTCAAAATTTGACGCTTTAATCATGTTTAACTATGAGATGGCATTAATCCACTATTGCCAACAGTTACCAATCCCAGAGAAGCTGCTATATAGGCATTACTGATTTGTTCAGTCCACGAAAAGCCCAGATAATGGCATTCGTTTTATTTGTGCACATGCAGTGTTTAGGTGAGCAAAATATGATTATATTTACCCACACACACACACAAAAACTGCATGGTTAAGGCCTTTTTTCTTTTTTTTTAAAAGCCAAGATGAGGTCATAATTCCCCATTCGCAAATAGTCTTTCTTAGTCATTGTATGAATATTTGTTTGTCCCAAGGGATTGAAGTACTAGTCATTTCATTCTCTGATCCATCTGGTTTGTTAATTACTCCACTTTTAGATATTTCTAAACAATATTTTATAATGTACATATATATATATTTTTTTTATTTCTCTACCATCGACCCAAGCAAAATGATTGTTTCCTTATGAAGGATTTCTGTGAAGAATTCCGTGGTTCTGTACCTTTTTCTCAAGCATTTTTAGGATGGAATGGCTAAATAATGATAAGAAGCACCAGAAACAAAATCTCACTATAAGTAAGAAATATCACAAGTACTCTTATCTAAATCACGAGCAGCAATGCACTACTGTTTAAGATGCTGAAAGGATTCAATGAAAAGTGAATCACACTTGTCATACTGGCCCACACGTGGCTGTGACATAACAACAAACTCCAAATTTAGATGCAGGACTTGTGTGTGTACATACCGCATGGATCCAACAGGTCTAGACTTGTCTTCTTCTTCATGTAGCTCAAATATAAACAAGAATACTACCAACCAACACCACAATTTCACCATAAGTCTTCCAGGCTGCCCCTAGTTTTCCTATATGTTCTTGCTGGCCATGTCAGGGCAATCCTGCACTAAACAGTTTTTATTACTCTACATTTGTAGTTTCATAAGCTGATACCTTAAAAAAGAGTATGCTTCCACAATCATACTGCCAAATTGTAATGTTCCAAGCCTTCACATTTAAAATTAGTGTACACCAGGGACTCACACACAGAATTTATTCATCTACAAGTCTTTGTATGTACCAGTACTGTATTAGTGTACCCCTGTCTCTGTACAGACCAGTATTATATTATTGTACCCTAGTCGCCATACGCACCAGTATTTCATATGGTTACCCTAGTCTCTGTATACACCAGTATTGTTTTATTAGCAAACGAATTTTAAAAAAATAATATCAGACAGTAGATGATGTGACTAACGATCACCTTTTTCTAAATTCACAACACAACATATTCAGATATGTCTAGAGATCAAATAAAGACTCACAACCTCATCAAATTCCCGTGCCAGCTCATACAGCAAGGCAATGGCTTCTCCAGCTGTCATACGCAGATCCACATCAGAGTTTCTTCAACAAATCCTGCAGTGGCCCAAGGTGACTGGGAGAAATCAATGATTAAAATACACATTTGCGTTCAACTGTCACAGTGATTTAGCAATCGCCAAAGAAATTCCAAGGCTTTTCAATTTAAAGATTACATAAAGGTTAAAGTAGCATGGATCAAGAAACTGTTAAAATATTGGGAAATATCAAATAGAACTCAAATACATGACAATGTGGTCTGTATCACACCCATTATCTTTTTCCCCTATTATGCAGCTCCTATTTTATGAGTCCTAATCTTTCGAAGCAACATGAATATTAAAACAACATCTTTAAAGGACTTCAGACCAACACCTGAAACGTATACAAGGTTTAAAACCTAAAATTCTATTTTAGCTCCTTTAACTGGGGGGGGGGGGGGGGGGAATACACTAATATTCATTTCAAATTACCACGTGTTATCAGAGCCTGTAAGGAAAGCAATGAGCGCTAATACTGTAACTATAACATATCATGACCACATGTTATAAGGTCAGCAATGAGCAGTATATAACCATCATGACCATGTGTTATAAGGTCAGCAATGAGCAGTATATAACCATCATGACCATGTGTTATAAGGTCAGCAATGAGCAGTATATAACCATCATGACCATGTGTTGTTATAACCTATCATACAAGCCATAAGTGGCAAATATGGAGGGTTAGTGTAAAAGATTTTAGTTGCAAACATCAGCCAACAGTAAAGAAAAGAAAACAGCCAACAAAAACAAACAGAGGCTTTTCCCTAAACAGAAATATGAGATAGATCTTCTACTTACTGTTTTTCTAGTAATGCTTAAATGAGAATTCAAGTTTTTCAGATGTGTAATTTTTTTACTTTTCTTCTTCTGGATTCATCCAAGGACATAAATGCACTGTGCCTGTTTGCAACATGGCTGTGAAATCTGTGACATGTCTTAACAAACAAGACTTTTGCAGACATTTAATTTGTTCCCGGTTAGCGCAAGATGTGTATTAATAAATCTAAGAGCCTTATGTGGGTGACCAAGCCGATGTTTAGCCCATCAAAGGCAAAGCATGAGGCAGTCTTGAAGAATATTTTCTGCAGCACACACGTAATGAGTCCAGTTCTGCCTGTAACTACTCAGGACTGTCACGTCCTGTTCTGATAAAGAATAGGATCTCTTGTACACCATCAAAACTGCACAATACAGAATGGAAAGGAGGAATCAACTGCAAGCCCTAGGTGATGTTTATCGACACAACAGGACTTTTCAATCAATTGTTGATGAATCTGCTGCTGCCATTTCTTTTTCGCCTTCTTAGCATTTACCAGCTTTAAATTCCCACAGAAAGTTCTGCCAGAACTTAAGTCTTGTGAGTTCTGCAAGCACATTTGCTTTACAGATCTGGCTTATCTGTATGCAGACTGTTGGTTTGATGCCTCTCTGTAGCCATTTAAATTGTGGGTCTTATCTTTTAAATATTACTCAACTACTAGGACAACAGTTTACAGGGAAATTCCCACCTCACGTGGCTTGTCCTGGATGAGATCACTGATCCCAAATGAGCTGAGTGGCTGCTTTATTTTTTAACCTTATTTTCAAAAATCTCAAGAATATGTTTATGTACACCAAAAGCAGTCATGCATTATTTGTGCAATTGCAAAGCATAATGACTAAAAATCAGAACATACTTATTGATGTGTGTCTGCACCTCATACTGTGGTGCCACAGTTAACAACAGGCACCAGGCACTCAATGCCTGAGCAATCAGCCAACTCAGCTCTGGGGGTACAGTTGGTGAGTTCTCTCCCTTGCCATAACCAAGACCAAAAATATCCTCCAGGGCTTTGGTCACAGATTTGATTTTCTATGGACAGAAAGTATTGAAATGGGTCAGCCATTTGGTTTCAGTATAAGAATAAATGTTAACTTACATCAGAATCGAATATTATACCGCAAATGCTATCATCACCCCTATAAATACAATCTGAAGATATCTGAATATTATGTCATTAAAGGTAACAGTATCCTAAGCATATAGTTGATTTCCCCTAGATTTATTATACTTAGTGTTACTACTCTTTAAAATTAGAACAGATTCCAGCTGTTGTAACTAAGATGTTGATTTTTATTACTATTATCTGCTAAAATTACATATGAATGAAATAATGTATGCACAGAGTGAAGCCAGAAGGGCAGATTATAAGACAGGCCTGTGTGCCCAAATTTCAACTCTGAAAATAAAGTCTGTTCGTTCATTCATCTCTTTTCATAAACATGTCCAGTTGTCACACGTTACGTTTTTTATCCTCTCATAATACTGCTAAAAAAAAAACAATAATGATGACTGTACAAAGCACAGATAAATGTGTGGGGGAAATGTCGATCCTGATTTTCAAACAAAACAAAATGTAACATAATCTGTATAAGGCATTATAGTCACTAATGTATGGGGTGATATTTCAACATAAAAATATTACATGCCGATAATCAAGCTCTTAGGTAGTTAGGTAGTTGTACCCCACCAGGACATCATATAAATACCCAATGACACAAGGTGCCATGCGGATGAGAATCACAGGTGGAGAGGTCCCAGAAACCCCTTTCAGCAATATCGATGGCTGGGCCATATTCATGGCCCCGCTATGTTTAGGGCCCCCGGCAAAAGCCAGGGTGGCGCTTCAAAATAAAAAAATTGCATCTGACTTCATTTTTTTTTACGAGGTTCTTAGGCTCAATGCACTCCAATCAGAAGATATCATTTATTACAGAAAAACCTTTTGTACAGCTTTGTTAATAATCAGAAAATGTAGGTGAAAATACAGCAGAAAACCCATACTGACCTCCAAGTCATCACAACACAGCAGGCAACAAGTGGCTAGTGAAGTGGCACAGGCTCCTCTGGCCTTGTAATGTGTGGCATTGTCTGTCATGACGCTGGTGAGAACTGGCTGTGCCACGGTGAACATGGACTGAGCCTCTGTACCGAGCTGCACCGCCACCAAACTGAGACATGTGGCTGCCAGGGCTTGCTCATCTCCCTTTCCCTTGCGCAAACAACGGAGCACACCATCTGCTAGTGTTTCCTTCCTTGAAAACCAAAAGATAAAATTAGGCCCTGAATACAGGTAACATATTCACCGTCACAAGTACGCATAATGAACTGCAAAGACGTGTTGTAAAAGTAGCAGTTTTTAGCGTTCATCAGCTGCCAACTCCAGCAGAAAGTCTTGATAGATGCACTATGACTTCAAAGGAAACATACCTAATTAGTACAGTGAAGGATGTGGTCAATATATTCTTTACTTCTCAGGACACTTACCTGGTAGACATTTTGGTCAGGCTGACCTGGAAGCCAGGGTGAATTATCAACAAAATCTGCTTTGATGCAGATTTGAAAACACAAATTTTTAGTCGGCTAGCCACAATGCTACTGCAGCTCCCAAGACGATTATGTACTTTCAATTTATTTAACAGAATAACTAGTTCATAATAGAATAGAATGCAGGAGTCAACTGCATTTGACATATACAGTACAGACCACTTTAGGCAATCTCTGGTGTGGCGAATTTCTGTCATGAGAAACAATTTGTTCACCCCTAGCAACTTTTCTTACTAAAATTCTTATCTTCTTAAGAGTAATTTTTGATACAAGGAACTATTTCTTGGGTCCCAGTGAGTTCTCTTTATCAGGTCTGCACTGTAATGGCATCACAGGACAACAAATAAGGGTAATTACATATAGTGTAAATGGTTTAATATATATAGTTTAAAACAGTTTACAAGTTAGTCCCAGAAGACATACAGAGATGTGGGAACTTCACATTTTTAGGCCATGGCATATGTGGTGGGGTGGCCAGGTCAGTTGTTACCTGTCTGTCATATTTCATTCAAAGACAATATTTTAAACGTGTCAATTTCAGAGTCTGACAGGTCGATAAATACCTGGGACCTGAACCTGGACCACTGTCTCGGCCAATCAATGAACCAATCAAGAATTGACATCAGTGCACTCGGGACATTCTCACATGTCCATCTCCTTCCTCAGATGCCATGAAATAGTCTTCATGCTAACTGCACCAGTTGCATTTTGATTTAAAGTCTGCCTATGCCTTCCCCTAAGTTGAATATCATTCAGAATCCTTGCCCACCCCAGCTGAATTTGTCTTTCAAGGTGCAAACACTCTGTCTTATTGCCCTACCCACCTGATCCCAAAGAGTTTTCATCATGTCCACTTTATCTTAACACAAGTCATATGCCTCTGCTGCTCTTGTTTACAAAGTTAGTTAGTTAGCTGCGTATCCTTTACAGGACATTTGCAGAACCAATCCCAGCATTTTTTCAATGTGGTTTTTCTAAGCAAATTAACTTCCAGCAGCTTGCTTTTGCTTTATGGACAGCTGGCTTCTCGATACCACTGTCGAAACCAACGTAAGGCAAAGGCCCGCAGCTGGGATCGAACCCAGCACTACGTAGCGCGTTCGCAACACCTAAGCCACAGGCGCCGACATTTTCAATGTAGCTTGCATTAAACTGCACTAAAATGACACACGTGAGGCAACAGAAAAACAAACCATTTTGTTATGATAAGATCACCAATGAAACAAGACCGTTACTTGCCTGTTTGTCAGAAATTCTGCCACATATTTCTTTTGGAGAGCATTCTGTATACCTTGTAAAGCAGTTACACGTGACTTCACACTGTCCGAGATAACAAACATGTATATAAAATTACTGTAAAACACCATGATACCAACATTTTACTTTGACACTTTCACAGAAAGTTTGGTTTTGATTTTATTTGTTCGACAGCATATAATCATTTAAATTGTTCCACCTTTCTCTATCCCTATTTTTTTTCCTGTCATAATCAGGAAATCTTTGATATTTAATCAATCCATTAATTGCATGGCCAAATGCCATGATGTCTCTATAGTATTTAAGTGTTAAAGCTCTTTGGACCATGGTCTTATGGCAATCTGGTTATTTCACCAAGCCATCATATTTTCCGTGTCTAAAATCATTTGATACTGGTGCTATCACTCTTGCTTTTCTTTATCGGAATTTTTGGTCTAGTTTCTTGACGCCACATACCAAACACAACATACATATTTCATATTTGCAGCTTCCATTTTACTTTACTTCTTAGTGTAATGTATGACACTGACAGCATAACAAGGGGAGAAATAACATGTTCACTACAATCAGCCACTCAATAGCATGGGGACAACAGTCATTGCATGAGCTACAGTCTTTTAATATTACATGTTTTTATTATTCTGAAAGAAATGGAGAACCAATTAAACTTAAAATAGTAGATACACGTCATTACCTTTTCTGCAAAAGACCATCCAAAAATTCTGAGAAATGATCTTCAAAGTTTTCTTGCTCAGTTGCACCTTCAGAGTCATCCTCAACATTAGCTGCTGAATCTGCAAACACAATTATAATAAACTTTAAGTGTAAATGTATGTGCGTTATGCATGTTTTACATATGAAATCCAGGTTTAATTCGCAGAATGGCATAGAAAATCCAGAGAAAAAACTTAAAATAGGTGTGTCTCAAAAACAGTTCACAAACAGCGAACGCCAACCTACCAGTGAAAGCAGAGGAGAAAAGTCAAATTCAGATAAATGAATCAATCCTGAATAAAATGACACCAGGCAAAACAAAATACTCCAGAATATTAGCCAAGTAAGAAAATATTTATCATATGTAGAACTGTTGCAGACAAGATTCAGATGAAATGTAAGTGACAGAGAATTTTAAAACAAAATATTTAAAAACATTTTTGGAATTTATTTTTTATTTTAAAGTGGTGTACACAGGCACACATTTAGCAGACAACTGTTGTCAGAGGGTAAGACAGAGAAATGATAGTGGATTAGAAAGATTTAATAAAAAAAAGTGGCCTGAATGTACAAAGGACTTATTCTGGGACAATACAGGCAAAAAACAAACGCTGAACAATCTGCAGAACCATATTAAAGACAGAAGCTCAGACGGCTATTAAAAAAAAAAGATGAAGCATGGCTTTTTCATTTGCAGGATTTGCATTTCCAAGTTGCAGGATATCCCTACAACAGCAATGGAAAGAATAAAATCATCATCCAACTTTGTCACTAAAATTATCACAGAAATAAGTAATGACATAAATTTCTCTGGTCACATCCCCAAGAATTTGAAAACATCTATTGTCATCACACTGACCAAGAAGTCAAAATCTGTTGATTGTGAAGACTAATCACTATTAGCTTAGTAAGTCATATTAACTAAAATACTTCCTAAAATTACATAATATAGAATCCAAAATAGTACACCCGCCCGAGAGGCAGGGAACAAGAACTGCAAACAAAAAAGCCAGTAAAATAGATTTAGATACAAAACTAAGGTCCTGGTACAAGGCCGAAGTCAAAATAGATAAACAACCAAGCACCATCTGCCATAACTCACAGCCAGCTAACACTGAGAAGAAGAACAACAACAAGGCTGCTGAAAAAGAGTTTGGGTTCCACAAAAAGTGATTAGTGAGAATTATCATCTCAGCACTCCGGACAGATCCACAGGGACTCTAATCTCCTCCTCTGTAAAAGTAATGGCACTAAAGAAGAAGAATTTGTCTAAGGGCGAAAAATTATACAGACATTCATACAAATATCTATGTATGTTTTATACACCGAACAATAGATAGTGGCAACACAGAAATTTTAAAAAAGACAGTGGGAACACCAAACATATCTTCAAAAGATACAAAAATTACTGACATTTAAAGAGATTATACAATCTGTTAATGAGAATTATTAAATGTTATGCATATTCAACCCTAGTGCAAGATGCAGAAGCCTGGACAATGAACAAACAGAAAATCACACTGAGCCTCTAAAAATATGGACATACAGAAGAATAGGTCACATTTCAAAGATACAAAACAATCAAATACAGAGGTTCTGGAGGGGTGGGGAATGAAAAAGATAGTCGCTGAAAGAAGAAAAATGAGACGTGAAAATTTTCAGCCATACTAAAAGTAAAAGAAAAAAACTATTTAAAATCATACTGGAAGGAAAGTCAAAGGCAAAAGAGCAAGGGATAGACAGTGATACAGATGGGAGGACAGCATTAAGAGATGGGAGGAACAGAAGTTAGAGAACGTGCACAACCAAAACTGTAGAGTGTTGGAGATTCACTGCAGCCAACCTTAAATGTGGAGAACCACACTTGATTATGTCTTTCCTTTTGAACAAAAAAAACAACTGCATTGCTTGCACCCATATATAAAACAGAATAATACACATAAATTGAAGTAAAAATCAATTACCTGAGCCAGGCAAACTTGAATCATTTGACAACACACTCTGTGTACTCCATTTATCTGTTACACTCTCGTTATCATCATCACCACCTTTAGGGTGGGCCAACGGCAGTACAGCAGCGCCATCTGGAGTCTTCCCACCTACAACATGAAAATTGTGACTTAAAGGGTTAGTCAACACATTGAACAATTTCATAATCCTGAAGAACAAGGTTCAATTTCATGGTGGACAGTTTATTTGTAAAAACCATGCTTGTGGTTTTTGGACAGCAGTAAGAGAGCTGCAATGTGGAAGAGGTCAGAGCAGTGTTTCCTAAACTTGTTTTGTGCCATACCCCACCTAAGCCTTTCTAAGATTATTATGCTCCCTATGTAACACTGTCATACTGTCAACTCTGGATAAGTCTATTTTTGAACCGCCCCTTAACAATCAAAAGCCCCCTCCCCCCTTCTTTCCTGTGGGACATGGACCCCACATTGGGAAACACTGGGTCGGAGCCTCACCTCATATTATTACTATAGACGCTGTTAGATGCACTAAAGTTAACTAATGTCGTTAACAATTTTGTGATCCTCAAGTACCTGCGGTGGACTTTTCGTGGGAGGGAACCGTTCTCATATTTGGTCAGATGTACGAGAGATGCACCATGGACAAGACTGGGGTCTTACCACGCAAAATTCTGAAAGACAAAAATAGTACACCACAGCCAACCTTCAATGTGGAAACAGCAAAGAATTTCTTCAGCTGTAACTCTGCCCATTAGCACAAATTGTGTTTAACACAACTTTAGTTTTAAGCATTGTAGTATACAGTAGTACTGACCTTTTATTCACAAGCTGTCAGGCTAGTTTATGTCAAGAGGGGTGTGATGTGATCATTTCGTTCAAATGGTACACTAAGTATGTCTAAAGAGCAATCAAAGACTTCCTATATCTGACCGGCCCCCAGGCATTCCCTAGTCCCCGACCCAGCCAATTTACCACACAGACACACACTGTGACCTTTTCTGTTGAATATTAATCGTTCACTGCGTCGGGGAACTTGTCGAGAAGTTGGACAGAGCTTGGCCTGCTGACACACTAGGTCAGTTTTGATTGGTCAAGCTGGTCAATGGTGGTGAAGGTGAAGGTTACATGGCTATTCCGGTGTACTGTTTTCTTCAAAATGGTTTCTCCATTGTCTTCTAGTTATGTTTCCCGTGGGACCTAGGTTGCACTCTCGAAGCCGGGTTTGGTGTTATGGCCAGTTACACATGTTTTGGGACAGAAAGTGCTGTATCCTAGAATATACAACATGCGTATAAAACCACAGCTAGGTAAAGACAACGCACAAAGGTTTTCGAAACAAAAGCGTACACTAGGACACCGGTGCAACTTTGAAGAAAAGTCCTGACCATATGTGAATGAAAAGTAAGCTAGTGTGTAAGTGGGCGGAGCTGGGCACCAGTTCATTTCACAGGAGTAGTACACCCCTTTTGATGTAGATTAGACTGACAACTTGTGAATGAAAGGTCAATACTACTGAATACTAAAATGTTTGGGCTGCTTAACGCGACCAGTACCCAAACACATCCGAGCCTCCTAAATGCTGTTCAGGCGTAAAAACAGAACTAATGACATCAGACTGTGTTTAGGGGGGGGGGGGGACAGGTCACTACAGACATACCAGTTTGGCTGCATTTACAGGAATGCGGCAACGATAGAAAAGTTTGAGGCTTCCCACAGCAATATGGTTAAGACCAGACTGCTATTACTGTAGGCAATAAATCCTTAAAATACAATCAATCAGTTGGCAAAAACACTTGCCTCAGACTTTATGAGTTAAAAGTTTTAAAAAACCCTACTCAATTCTTCATGGAGACTAGTGAACTACTCACACAGGATAATATACTGTCTCAGCATCTGCAACTGTATGTTTAACTTAGGACTAAGTAAAGGTATACACTGGTATTTTTAAAAATAAAAGCATAAATTGTGATCAAATTTACTCGTCAACTACAGCTGAGGTAATGTTCTATCACTACAATACTCACTGCAACAGTAATGACAATGACGATGTAACTGTATATGACACTATTATTATTAATTAAATAATATAGTGTCAGCAACAAATAAATCATTGATACTATTATTGATTAATGATATTGATGTACACAAATAGTCATAAAGATGTGTAGCATAGAGGTATAACAAAATGTAAATGATGATGAATATTGTGCATTTATTTATCAGACTAATAATATTTGAGATAACTTAATTTATTTACGTATCAAATTGATAATCAACAATAATAAAGTATAAAGTAACTCATTCGTCAAGGTAAACATAAACAATGATAGAAAATATGTGAACGTTCCTTTATGAATAAATAAAATATGCATCAAGGATATAACATGACATGCGTATATGTTAGTTAAAAATCTCCTATTATTTAAATATCGCAATTAGGGCTGTACCTAATAGTGATTGTCACTATTCGGCCGAATACGAATAGCGGGACCAACTATTCGGCCAAATACGAAGTGTATCATCATCATCAGGTGCCTTGCCGACTGGCGTGGGCGATCATGCCTCTCCACAATCTCTGATCTCCTGCAGCAAGTGTTTGTGTGCTGACACACCTCCATGCCATGCAACAAGACTGTCAAGAATCTTCTCTCGTCTTTCTCTATCCCTCTTTCCAGATCTTTCCAGTGGTCACCACATGTTCCATTTTCTCTCTCATATAACATGGCCGAAAAATGATGACTGTCTCCTCCTGATCTCTGTGATTAGTTGTCTTCGGGCTCCCGCAACTTTCAAAACCTCTTGGTTGCTTTTTTTTTTTTTTTTTTTCTGTACAAGCTATTTTAAGCATTGTTCTGTAAAACCACATCTCTGAGGCCTCAAGAAATTGTTTAGCCTGCCTATCGATTGTCCTGGACTCAACAACGCATTGCCTTCAAATATAAGTGCTTACTTGATGAGGTTAACAATGACTATTGTACAGACCACATTATCCACTTTAAAATTTCAGCCAAAATGTAATCACAACCTTACTTATCCGCTGCACCTTCACGAATACAGATGGAGGATCAGTCGCTTCTCGAGATAAATACAAAGACAATTTTTAGCACGCTACAGTTGGCATTTTATGCAGTTTGTTACACTTTGAGCGAGAAACAAGGAAAAAACTATGGTCAGTGGCAAGGTAAGACAATTTAAATTGTAACTTTTAAGTATCTTCGTGCCTTCTTTAATAATGTCACAATTTATAGCAGACTTTTCTTCATTTTCGCCACAGCACCCCTGGCATACGCACCCAGTTTGAGAACCTCTGCTGTAATACAACGCACTCGGGTGTAGCAGTTTCCCCCGAAGACTTAGGCAACAGCAAATTATGTGTTAATGAGAGAGTTAGTTCATCGCAGTGTACACAAAATGGGTAAGGTAACCACTATTTGTATTCGGCCTGACCGCAAGTATTTGGCCGAATACTGAATAGTTAATATGTCCACTATTCGGCCCCGAAGCTAATACGAAGCGAATATTCGGTACCGCCCTAATCGCAATATAACCAGAATCAATAATTCACTTTTTGTCCACATTTATTTAACTGATTACATAAACTGCTCTATGCATGGGTAGAGAAAATCTCTGTTCTCTTTCTTCTAAGAGGCAAAGAGACTGGTTATCCTCCTAATAACGGCCACATATTATGGCGGCTAAAAAAAACCCACCCCGACAGGGCCTCAATCACATGGAAATTGCAGACTTCTTTCCGGCGTATATACCACTGCAAAAGTAGGATACATTTCAGGGGTTGATGTTGCGAAACGCAACAAAACATGCTGCAAAAGTGGGATAAATTTCCGGGGATGATGTCACAAAATGCAACAAACTGCCGAAATAAACTCACTGCCGAAATAAACTCGCCGCCGAGTTTTCCCCACGCTGCGCGTAGGGGGGGGGGGGGGGGGGGGGCTAAACTAGATCTCTATTCTCTTTCTTCTAAGAGGCAAAGAGACTGGTTATCCTCCGAATAACGGCCACATATTATGGCGGCTAAAAAAAAACACCCTGACAGGGTCTCAATCATGTAAATTGCAGACTTCTTTCCGGCGTATATACCACGTAAAAGTAGGATACATTTTTGGGGTTGATGTCGCAAAATGCAACAAACCGCCAAAATAAACTCGCCGTCGCTAAACTAGATGGCTGGGACACAAGAGTAGCAGCTACCGCAACTCATGCAGCTTCCTTTTTTTTTTTTAATCGCCGAGTCCCAGTCATTTAGTTTAGCTCCCCCTACGCGCGGCACATAGTGGCGCGGTGGATACTTTTGGCGGTATATTCACCGGAAAGAAGTCCGCAATTTACATGTGACTGAAGCCCTGTCAGGATGTTTTTTTGGTCCCCATAATATGTGGCCGTTATATGGAGGCCAATAGTCCATATAATCACAGTCATATATCATATTTTGTGGCACTCTTCCGAATACCAGTCCCAAATTATTTACTGTTTAAAAAATCCCATTTAGGGTCTCAAGAGGTCATATAGTTTAAAATATGGAACAGGAACGCTACAAACTATGCTTCGCGTTATTATATAATTTCATGGGAACCCAACCCTCGAGTCTTCGGTAGTATAGTTGTACGTGGGTGATCTGTGTTCAATATCCCGCAGGGTGATAATTTTATTTTTAGCCCTTAAAAGGACAGTTGGGATGTTTTGTTGTGGTTTACAGATAGGCTGCGATATCTGCTCCTTTTACACTAACACAACTGATTTCAGCCGTCTTATTTAGCCACCTTTTACAACTTTTTAGGTGGCAGTGGATCTATTCTTTTTTTTTCCCCTCAAACATGTGGCCCTGGAACCCACAAAAGGAGTCACGGGTAATGTAAACAATGGATCAAAAACTATTCTATTCCTCCTCAAGTAGCTTTAATGGATCGAAAACTAATCCTCCCCACTTCACTTAAACATTGAATCAAAACATTTTCCTCCAAACGAAGCCTCAATGGATCTAAAACAAATCCCTCCCCCCCCCCCTTTCTTCCCAGCACTTAGCCTAACGTCTTAACATTGTTGTCTATCAAGCAATAACGGCAGAAGTGGAAACTGACTATGATGGCCTAAATGCTTTTACTACACATAACCTATTGAGGCTCTCAAAGGGATGTTTTTGGCAGTAAATAATTTGGGACCGGTATTTTTTTTTAGTCTAAGATAACACTCGCTGTTAAATACTATACATACACATACAAAATTCATTCATTTTCTTAGTAAAGTAGAAAATTTGGTTATCCTCTAAATACTGCTTTTTCAGCAGTATCAGCTGTGTGGTCACCGGAAAGAGGTCCGCAATTTACATGTGACTGAGGCCCTGTTAGGGTATATTTTCGGCCTCTATAATTTGAGACCGTAATTCGGAAGATAACCTAAAATTGTGTTATGCAGAGTTGACAAAAAGCTCCCAAAATATAATTCTTAAATCGCAGGGTACAGTGCAGCCGTGATATCAGCAAACACTAAACAGCGCCAGGCGAATCAAAACAAACCCCCTGCGTAGTTACTTTGTAACAAATGAGTGGATATTTTAGATTGACATCTGCAACCCTTTTTAGTAACATATTAGGTCAGAGGCACTGTTTTTGTTAACGCTGATCAAATCGGTACACTAAACAAACAAAAAATAATAAGCAACACGGCAAGGAAATTGCAAGGCCTGTCGCCAAATGTAGGTAAAAATAGAAAAGATGGCGTGTCAGGAATGTACTTCACTGGCAACCTCAGGCATACATACCTCCACGTTTCTTGGAATTTTTATTCTTAGGCATTATTTCACAGCTCTAAATTGTGTCCAACAAGTTAAACTATGTTCTATGAATATAAACCGATGTATATGATATTCAGAATGGAAATAAACTGAAGACAGATTAGAAATTTGGCGAGACAAAGTTGACATGTTTTGGTCAGAACGTGCAAGGGGTGACGCACTGCTGTTTATTTTTAGTAACAGAATAATCTCAAACTAATAGAATTGTTAACGAGAAATTGAAGTACTGTGAGGCAATGATGAAAATATGTCTCAATTTTAAAACTATACTAACTACTTTGTCAAGAAAAAAGTACTATTATATGATATGTATCTTTTTCTTCCTTGATTTGAGATATATGCATTATTCTTGGAGATTATAATTGCAACCACGTGCATTAGATCCCGCTGCCGTCATCTGGACATTGATCGACTCGATTGTCGTAAAATATAGTCGTAATACAAATAGATTGCACCTATCGTGGACATCGAAACCCTGTGATCACGTATTCAGGTGCCGTCTCCCATAATGGTGGTCAACTTATGCAAGACAATTTAGATGTGGAAAAGTGAACAATGCTGAGACATGAAGAGAAGGGTACAGCAAGGAGTGACCAGGGGATCTGATCGACACTCTGCACTCAGAGAAAAGACAACATGAAATAAAACTGCTACTGACACCATCTTAATTGGAACCCTTTGATGGCTGCTGAAGATGTAGACGGTTCGGTTACGGGATGTCAATACTAAGCTCAACCCAAAAAATTAAACGCACGGGTGTGTAATCTATAATCTTGAATTATTTCATGTATATACATGAGTTCCCAGCAAATGAACGGTTTATTTCTGTAGGTCTTGTGTTTCTTGGACATTTGCATTCGTCTATTTATTGAGAAACCCAAAATGTGTAACCCGAGGTGCTACATCCCCTCTACCAGAGAAAGTCACTTGCGACGAAGCAAAACTAAAGTCTAACATAATCTCTCTCTCTCTCTCTATCTATCTATCTCTCTCTTTCTCTCCCTCTTCTCAATCTCACTCTCTCTCTCTCTCTCTCTCTCTCTCTCTCTCTCTCTCTCTCTCTCTCTCTCTCTCTCTCTCTCTCTCTTTGTGTATGTATGTAGATGCGTTTATGTATGAATGTGCATGTATGAGAATGTGAGAGTATATATACGTGAGTGTGTAAGATTGTGTACACATAATGTGTGTATGCATTATTCTATAATGTATATTTCTTTATTATATCCATAACATGCATTATAGATAACAAGCATTGGTACTCTGAAAAATGAGTGCTTAGAAGGGCTGAATGTCAGACAGGCTTGCGTGCCCAATTTGTAACCCTTTGAAAATAAAGTTTGTTCGTTCTCTCTCTCTCTCTCTCTCTCTCTCTCTCTCTCTCTCTCTCTCTCTCTCTCTCTCTCTCTCTCTCTCGGTGCACCCCACCAGGACGTCAAACCTAACGGCTGAAAGGGGTTTCCAGGACCTCTCCGCGGGTAATCCTCATCCGCATGGTGGCACCTTGTGTCACCGGGTGTTTATCGCTTGTGTGATGTCCTGGTGGGGTACAACTACCTATCTATCCTTGACTTTTGTAGGCCAGCCATCCAGTATCGGACGCAATTTTTCGTTCTTATAAAGCCCCACCTCGCCTGTTGTTGGGCGCCCTCAATGTAACCTAGAGGTTTAACTGGCTCTCCGAGACTTGCGTCTGGGCTATTCTCATCCCACTGCATGCACTTTGTGTCACGGGATATATATTGCTCGTTGTGTGGTCCTGATGGGGTCCACGTCATACACTCTTCATCCTTTATGTATACTGTTAAAGTGGGGAGTCACCGTGGAGTAGCGGCCAGATGCTCGCCTGCGTATCGGAAGGTGGTGGCTGAGGTCCTGGCGTCAACTGGAGCCGGTCTTGACTCAACCTTGAATGGGCACCAGGTGTAGTATTTGGAAGCAAAGTACCGATTGGGCTATAAGATGTAGGTTTAGCCCTATATACCCAATAGGCCCGAAGGCGTGGAAAACGATCCTAATACTATTAAACTGTGTAATTTGCGCAGTGCGAACTATGAGTAATAATATGAGAATCAACACTGAAAAGACAGAAGTAATGTCAATAGGAAAGAGGAAGACAGATCTAAACATAGCAATAGAGTGCAAAGGCATTAAACAGGCATCTGAGTTTAAATATCTGGGAACTACATTTATTGAAGATGGGAAATTGGATAAAGAAATTAACATTAGACGCAATAAAGCAAACCAAGTATTGGGACAGCTAGCACCCCTCTTACAGCATAAGACAATCCCAATCAGCACAAAGAGACATCTTATTCAAAGCATATTTATTCTAACTCTGTGCTACCAGTGCCAGACATAGTCACTCACAACAAACCATAAAAGAAAATTAGTAACCATGGAAATGAGATGTCTGAGAAGGGCTGTAGGTGTGACCATAAGAGATAGATCAGGAATGAGATCATAAGAGAAAAAGTCGGCACAGAACCAATTCTAAATTACATACGAAGACAGCAAGTGAAATGGTTTGCCCACTTAGAGAGAATGTCTTGTGACACCATACCATACAAAGCATACATGGAAAAGGAAGAAGGACGTAGAGCACGAGGTAGACCAAGAACAAGATGGAAGGATAACATCAGAGAAACTCTACAACAGCACGATGTGCCTATGGTCGAGGCGTCCAGAAGAGCTAGAAACAGAACCTTATATCTCCGTCGACACCCACAGCCGTAAAAGATGAAGTGAAGAAGAAGAAGAAGAAGAAGAAGAAGAAGAAGAAGAAGAAGAAGAAGAAGAAGAAGAAGAAGAAGAAGAAGAAGAAGAAGAAGAAGAAAAGAACTCTGAGTGCTGTGAATAACTAATGAATTAATCATAATATCAGGACATGTTTTTATGGTCAAGGATTCTAAATCTTAAACCTAAAAATCAGTTTTCCGACCCAGCACAGCACACGATCATTATAACATTTACTCACCATAGATTTTCGTAAGTTTTTTTAATTCAAAACTTCTGAGTAAATTGGCGGGAAAACTCAACATTTGACAACAAAAAGAAAAGAGAAACCTTTTCCCCGTTTGTGAAATATCTAATTTCAAATGTTCGTTGAAGTAGTAGCTTATTATTACTATTATTATTATCATCATTATTATTATAAATTGTCCCAAATGAACGAGACTTATAGTCAAACTGTTACTACTACTACCACCACCACCACACTACTACTACTACTACTACTACTACTACTACTACTACTACTACTACTACTACTACTACTACTACTACTACTACTACTACTACTACTACTACTACTACTACTACTACTACTTCTACTACTACTACTACTACTACTTCTACTACTACTTGTGCATCTATCTCCTTGAGGTCGGTCCCTTCAGCCACCCCCCCCCCACCCCTCCCCCTCCCATTTTGGGGGGAGAGGGGAGAATTTTCCTTTACAGTTAACGTAAGCGACTTCACGGGACTTTAAATAGATTAAACAAGGAATAACAGATTACCTGAATTATACTGTCTGTGCTTGTCCTAACTTAGAATAACAGCAAGTCGGTGCCAGGGGCGCTGTCACAAAGTAAACATTGGGCTCAATCCCACCAGCCGCGCACCTTATCACCCATGAATTGGAGGTAGGCTGATGAGAGCTAGGGGATTTCTGGGCAGTGCATATCTGTGGGTCACCAACACCGAGTGCCCCCTCCCAGGTTCAGGTCCTTATGAGCTATTATCCGTGAAGCACGACGAGGACGTGTGATATGTTTGTGTGTGTGTGTGTGTGTGTGTGTGTGTGTGTGTGTGTGTGTGTGTGTGTGTGTGTGGTCAGTAAAGCCAGCACAGTGCCTGCTGGCGCAGAAGGTGAGGTACGGCATGACCGTCTCCTGCAGACGGTCATGAGTGCGGAGTATCTTATGAACATCACATCAGCCTTAAATTTCCCTCACGTCTGTCGCTGAAATCACTGGGTTACATTTTTAAAAGATAATTTTAATACATACATCTTAACTCCCTTACAAAATTATTGGATGATATAAGGAGCTCTCAGACAATATTTTTTCTGGAGGTAAAGGAGGATTGGGGGGGGGGGGATGGGGCACTTAAGGACCTGCCTATGGCAGTAGCGTGTGGTTAGAGGGCTCTCAATGTTTTCTTACCTGTTTGGGGGATGGAAACGCTACCATGGTAACTTGGTGGCGGTGCGCTTGCACAAGACAGATCCAAACGCGCTTCTTAACGATAGCTCCACAAGTATAAAACATCCGATAGCGCCTGTTCTGTGTTGAAGACGTATCATATTTAGTCTCCTTTTGACATCTAGTGTGCGTGTGTGTTGATTATTTGTAATCCGGAGAAGGCGGTGTTTGTAATATACAAAAACCCGCAGAGTTAATTATGGTAAGCTTTTCGTGTTATACAAGATTTCACTAGAAAATGTTTGCCACCTAAATCTGCTGACATCAATTGCTGCGTAGTTCTTGTTGGAAATTCCTAATCCTGTTGCACAATTTGTAAGCAAGTTTTTGTCGTATACTTTATTGTTTAAAACCATACTATTTTTAAAACGTGGTAAATTATATATTCCAATGACAACAACAACAAAAATAGCGTAGTCTCGATTTCACAAAGAAGTATGCCGTTTTAAGACACTACTGTAAATCTTCTTCTTCTTGGTTCACCGGCTGTAATTTCCGGGGAAAGTCCTGGTTGTTCGTCCATTTGGACTTTGGCTTTGTGCCAGGTCTCAGTTTTGTGTATGCATCCGTTTTACTAGCTTATTTGTGTGCAGTTGGTTGTTCCTTGCCGCTCGGACAGATACACTCCGACTTCAAAAGAAATCCTCAGTGAGTCGACTCCTACGACATGCTTGCTGAAGAGGCAATGGGTCTACTTTTTTTTTGTCCCCAAGTGGATAGGGTCCTGGAACCCACATGGGGAACTACTGTAAATATCTGATTGTAAATTACAAAATCTCAAATATGAGGCAGATAGAAGATTACATTTAAATAGTAGGTATCTGTTATCCGTGTCGGCGTTTGTCGCTTAGGCTTTGCGTAATGCCAGGGTGCCGGGTTCGATCCCAGATGCTGTTTGTCTTGTGTTGGTTTCGACAGTGGTACCGAGAGCTGACCGTACAGAATGCAAAGGCAAACTACTGAACTTAAAATGTGCCCCAAAAAAAAAAACCCACAACAGCCAACACATGCTGGGGTTTGTTCCTGTAAAGGATATGCAACTAACTTAAAAAAAAAAAAAAAAAAACTTCTATCCGTGCTATGGTTTTGAAGGCAATAGTGTGAAAGCAAAAATATTTCTAAACGGACTATAACCGTCCGAGTATAAATCATGTAAATACGCTGGATTGTTAATTACAAACACACTCGCCTTGACGAACCCAGTTATAAACGCAATGCTCCCACATTCTTACTTATAATGTTACATGTAACATTGTATCTGCAAACTAGCACTTGCTCACAGATAAGACTCCACAGTGGCGATGTCGTTTAGCCGTTTGCATCACTCTCTGAACATTGATTTTTCGATTTCGTTCTTCACCCTTTGGGTTGTGAGTGTATGTAGAGGGATATTTCTAGGATCGTAGTTTAAGCTACAACGTTTCGTGCTTTCTTGGTGGGTTATCTGGAAAGAGAGAGAGAGAGAGAGAGAGAGAGAGAGAGAGAGAGAGAGAGAGAGAGAGAGAGAGTGAGAGAGAGAGAGAGAGATGGAGAGAGAGAGCCGCCAGTGCCTAGTGCTAAAGTGTATGTGTTATCAGTGAATCAGTGAATACAATTTGGTGGGTCTTTGGGGTACTGGACAGAAAGGTCGGAAGTGGTTCACATAGGCGCTGGAACTTAGGTCTCAGGTCCCTTGACCCACCCCCACAAAATAATTTTGTAAGAAGACTAAGAGACATCGTTTAATCACGTATAGACATTTTCTTTAAAAGTTATTGCTTATACATTCTTGATACAACGGCAGACAAATGAATTAGCAACTTTTTAATGATATCAAAGCACATCTTTTTTTCCTTTTGTGCAACCGAACAAAATTATATACACACATATATATATGCAGATAAATGTGTGTGTACTTCGAAATGTATGTCTGTGTGTGTGTGTGTGTATATATATATATATATATATATATATATATATATATATATGTGCCGGCGTTTGTGCCTATATATGTTGTGTACGTATGTGTGTGTGTATGTATATATATATATATATATACATATATCATTATAATTCTAATTGGCATGCACTGCTGTAATAATGTACCCGTATTACCAGGCCACTATGAGTTCAGTTGCACTATTCTTCCACAAATCATTCTATTCTCTAGAGTTCAGTAGCATAGAAGTTCTGATACTAGTAGACACCAGCACCCCTTCCCCCCCCCCCCCCCCCCGCTACCTTCCTCTCTCACACTCATTAATCTTTTCTAAACAGTAGAGTTCACTAGCAGGGAGCTCTTAATACCTATACAAACCAGCCTTGCCATCGCCACCCCCAACAATTTTCATTAGCACACGGACCACTATAGCTTTTTTTTTAAGGCCAACAGCCGTGCCCCTTCAGCTAAAGGGGGCGTTGATAAGGCCATCCAGGTCAATGGAAAATCCCGTTTTTGTGCAACAAGGAGGGGCCGGTGTGTGTTCACTATGTTTATCGAGTAGATTTATACACAAATTAATCTACGATTTTTTTAATTTATAACACTATTAAAAATAATTTATATATTATAGTGTGCTATATATTATTACCAGGAAGAAGGGGCAGGGGCTGATCGACACGAAGATGGGCACAAGATATAAGTCTCCTTGAGTATGAAAGTACATGAGGCGGGAGAACTGGCGAGAGACCGAGTTTCTTTCAGGCAGACTGTGCCATTCTGCATTCTGCTACATGATGATGATGATAATGATATGTTATTATTTTCATTATTATTTTATTTTATAATAGCACACTAATTTATCTTCAAAATTATAATTCAAAAAAATGTTGCAAAATAATGAAACTGTAGTTTAATTTGTGTATAAAACTACTCTCTAAACATAGTGAACACACACCGGCCCTTCAGAGTTGCACAAAAAACAGTAATTTCCGTTGACCCGGAATGCCTTATAAAAAGCTATAGTGGGCTAGAATAGCACTCGAATTTAGTGACACAGAAGTTCTTATACTCGTGCACAGCTCCCACCCCTCAACAATCTCCCGTCAGCACTAGAGTTTAATCACATGTGAGTGCTGATAATCGTGGCTACCAGTTCCCATTTTCTCTCTCTTCTCTCGTCTCTCCCCCCAGACCCCATCCCTCAACAATCTCTCGTCAGCACTAGAGTTTAATCACATGTGAGTGCTGATAATCGTGGCTACCAGTTCCCATTTTCTCTCTCTTCTCTCGTCTCTCCCCCCAGACCCCAGCCCTCAACAATCTCTCGTCAGCACTAGAGTTTAATCACATGTGAGTGCTGATAATCGTGGCTACCAGTTCCCATTTTTCTCTCTCTCTTCTCTCGTCTCTCCCCCCCCCACCCCTCAACAATCTCCCGTCAGCACTAGAGTTTAATCACATGTGAGTGCTGACAATCGTGGCTACCAGTTCCCATTTTCTCTCTCGTCTCTCCCCCCAGACCCCACAACCTTCGCCGGGTACTATAGTACCGGTTTAAGCCACTCGCTTTGGTGCAATTAACAATTCTTAGCAAACATACTTGGCACAAAGAAACCATACCACAGTTATAGCCGAAACTGCTCGATGTAGGTTGAACGAGGTCGATTTGTGTTCTTTTGTTTTTATAAATGCATGGGTGGATACAACTGACAATGATCCGCGGGCCACTTGCTAGGCTTCTACGGGTCGGATTAAGAACGCGGAGACCTAGCAAGTTGCCCTTGGACCTTTGGCAAATGTTTTATATTAATGATCTGTCTTATGTCCGACCTTGAGCATCTTTCCCCTGACAAACCCCGTTATTTGGGATTTCCTTATGTGCGTGTTACTGTAGTATTCATCTGGTGAGATACAACGAAATATGCCAGGCAATAAACTGTGCAATCTATTGTTTGTGTCATTTTTAATCAAATCCCCATGTTTATCATTTTAGCCCCTGGGTAAATCAAACTTAGTTGACTAGCCCTGCCGTATCGTATAAAATCAAACAAAAATTCCAAGCTTAGTCCTTTTTTAGCCGCCTGATGGCCTGCTTTTTCAAGGACGTATTAGTATTAGCCCTGCCATCAGTACACACACACTTATTCCAGTTATGAATGACCCGGAAGTTAAATTATTTCACACAGGTCTGTAAGTTTCCCCACTGAAGAGCGACTTGTTGCCCCTGCCCCTGCCCGACTTGGTCACCAGGGCTGCCAATGCTGGGTTTTCCCCCCAGATCTGGGTTTTTATTTGACGCCTTGGGGGAAATCTGTTCTTTTTTAAATATATCCTTTCATAACATACATGGATAAGATCACTGTAGAAGCAAACCCAGACGTGTATGCTATAAACGAATTACTTTTTGCTGATGATCAAAGCATACTGTATCAAAATGAATATGATCTACAGGAACATCTGACTACTCTCAACAACAGCTGTTTACAACATAATATGAAAATCAGTACAGAAAAAACAGAAGTTATGAAGATCAGCAGAACACACAGGCCACTGAATATAAATGTTGGAAGTGCCAAAATCAAGCAAACCAAAGAGTTCAAATACTTGGGCAGTATATTTACAGAGGATGGAAGAATGGACAGAGAGATAGAAACAAGAATACAGAAAGCAAATGCTGTCACATACCAACTATCACCTCTGCTTAAACATCCAGATATAACCATGAAGACCAAAAGACAATTGATAAACACCATCTTCATACCAACACTCTGCTACCAGTGCCAGACATGGACAATCAACAAGACCCATGAAAGAAAAATAGAAGCCTGTGAAATGAAATGTCTAAGAAAAGCAGCGAATAAGACCAGACTAGACAGGATAAAGAACATAGACATTAGAAACACTGTCAAAACTACACCATGTTTAGACTACATAGAACATCAAAGAATGAAATGGTTTGGACATCTAACCAGGATGAAAAATGACCAAATAACATCACAAATTTTCAACCAAAGAAGATCAGGATATAAGACAAGAGGAAGACCAAGGAAACGGTGGATTGACGGGGTCTCCGAAACCTGCCAAAAGCATGGCCTCAGAACATCAGATGCTGCCCGCCTTGCTTATGACAGGAACTTGCATCTCCCCACAACGCTTAGCGGCATACGTGGAAGGAAAAAGTAAAGTATAAAAGTGGTTAATGTTTCGTTTCGTAACTATTAATTCTGTACATTTTAATAATATGGGTTTTTTATTTTGTTCGTTGTCTATGTATTGCTTGGGTTTTTGTTAAGCGAAGCTGGGTTTAAAAAAAAAATATCCCATTGGCAGCCCTGCTTGGTCACAGTTTACCTGCTGATACAATCCACAGTAGCAGTCGTCTAGTGTAGCTGGGTAGTTTTATGTAGCCAACTCCCAGTCCAGTATGGGAAGTGATTTCTTCTCCTCCAGAGTTTGATACAACAAAGTTACAAATATTTTTAAAATGAGTATAACGTTGTCTAAAGAAATAAAAAAATTCTATGGGTTGCGCAACAGGCTGAAACAAATTATTGCTGACACTAAAAGGTGTTATGAAGACATCAACATCTCGGGTCGCTTTGAGGGAAGTAAGTAATATACTAATACTAATATAATCAATTATTCATTCATTCATTCAGTAGCATGTCCCTCGCGGAACCTCGCTGCCATAACAACCCTCCGGAAAACCTTCCTATCATGAGCAAGATGTCCTGCGTCTGATACACCCATCTGGAGATCATCTGCCACATCTTCTCCTTGGCCTTCCTCTTCCTCTCTTCCCAGGCATATAGTACCCCTCCATTATTGTTCTCTCTAGACTTCCATGACGTTTCAAGTGACCAAAATATTTCAATTTTCTTTGTTTTTTTGTCTTTACTAGCCAACCCTCTTCAATAATCAATCAGTGTAATGAAATCGAACTGTATAATAAGGAATAAGGTTACAATTTTAATTCTTCTTGTATAGTTTATTTATAGTTTTAGATTGAATAATTTATTGTTTGAGTCAGTAGTAGTAGTAACTCAGCCTCATTCAGTGATTCACACTGTTTGGTTTATAAGTGAAGTAAGTAAGTAATCAGTCAATTTAATGAATTCAAACTATATAATCTTACATTTTAATTCTTAGTGTATAGTTTATTCATCATTTTTAGACTAATCCATTCATTGTATGAGTAATAACTCATTCGGACTAACACTGTTTTAAAAACGAATATCAAGCAATCATGGAATTACGCCCTTGTCTTCTTTTTCTTTTTCTTCTTCTTCTTCTTCTTTTTCTTCTTCAGTCCTATTCTGGCCTTCACTGTCAGGTTTTGAAGAGTTGTAGGTGCAAGTCTTGGTATGTGCTACGTAGGTGCTGGTACTTAGCCCAGATTTGCTATGAAAATATCCCAGCTAGTGAATGTTCTACCCTTCTTGCCTCACTCATGTCATACATCATTTTATTCATGCATATTTTAATAGGTAATTACTGTTCATTTTGTCTGCCCTGATATTGCTGTTGTAAAATCCATTCTCTGATGAAAGCATTAGCATGAGAGTAGAGTCCGTATAAGAGTTGTTGTGTTTGACTTCTGCTGTTCAGTTCTTCAGTGTTAACAAAAGGTTAGGTGCCATTTAATGGTTTGCTTCTTATGCTTGTTGTGATGATGTGTCCAGTCTCATAGTCGTGTTCCTTTTGAGCCATAAAAGTAAATTATTAGCAGTACCCTGAAACCCAGTATAATCTTTGGTAGTGTTCACACTTGGACTGTCGGTAGTTATGTGAAGTTGTCTGTTGAATGTTCAGTGTTAAAAGTTGAATATAAAAATCAACATCACAGCACTCTGGACTTCCACATAAGCGTTCCATCCCCATCTTCAGCAGCAAACGAAGAATTGTAATTCCAATGGCACCAGTAGATTGTCTGATTGTATATGCGTTTCGCTGAAGTTGTCTGTTATATCTTATCAGTATATACCTATTATATCTCATCATCTCTGCAGATATGTGGTTTTATAGACCAGTGGCTCTCAACTTTTCTAATGCCGCAACCCTTTAATATAGTTCCTCATAGTGTGGCGACCCCCAACCACACAATTATTTTCGCTGCTATTTCATAACTTTAGTGAATATGTGTTTAACTTTAGTGAATATGTGTTTAACTTTAGTGAATATGTGTTTAACTTTAGTGAATATGTGTTTAACTTTAGTGAATATGTGTTTAACTTTAGTGAATATGTGTTTTCCGATGGTCGTTGGTGACCCATTTGAAAGGGTCATTCAACCCAAAAAAGGTTCAAGACCCATGGTTGAGAACCCCTGTTATAGACGAATGATAAAAATACCCTGGACAGATAAAAAGTGTTACGAAGATGTCTTGAAAAAAACTGACTTAGGAAAAGAACTGATTGCCCAGATCAGAAAGAGACAATCTACATTTTTTGGTCATGTGATGAGAAGGAAAAAACTGGAGTACATTGTGACAGTAGGAAAGTTGGAGGGGAGGAGAGGCAGAGGGAGACTGAGGGAAAAGATGCTGGACAGTTTGACATCATGGCATAGAGGATCATCTTTACATGAGACACAAGGTTGGGGATAGACATGACTACCAACGCCACACTGCATGGACTTTAGGAAGAAATCTCATCAGTGTAAACATTTTGATTGTTCTAACTATGGAATTTCTCTTTCACTTCCTCTTTTACCAATTCCAGTGTTGAGGCAGATATGAGGTTCTGCTTCTTGCTCTACTGGTCACTTGGATCGCAGACACATCATACTGTTGTAGAGTTTCTCTGACGTTTTCTTTCCAGTTTGTTCTCGGTCTACCCTTACTCTTCGTTCTCCTCATTTTGTTTTTGTTTTGTTTATGCTATTGAACTACACACATTTTGCATAAGACTATTACATTTCAACAGTACTGTTTGTTAATATGTACTGTATGACTTATCATTATTATCCTGTAGCAGATCCTTTGCAGAATGTTGCTCTCATTACAGTCTGCCTGAAAGAAACTCTCTTGCCAGCTCTCCTACCTTGTGCGCTCACATATCTTCTTCTTCTTCTTTGCGTTCACCAGCTGTAAACTCTGGTGGTAAGTTCTGGTTGTTCATCCACTTCTGGACTGCAGTCTTGTTAATGTTTCAGAGTGTTGTGTGTGCATGCATTTGACAGATCTGACTCATTTGTGTGCAGACTGTTGGTTCCTTGCCTCTCAGGCAAATGCACTCTGACTTCAAAGGAAGCTCCCAATTAGTCGACTCTTACGACATGCTTTTGGATAGGCAGTGGGCCTATTCTTGTTTTCCCTATAATAGGGACCCGGAAGCCACACAGGGAACTGACATATCTAAGGAGTCACTTATAACCTGTGCCTGTCTTCTTGTTTGTTGGCCCCTTCCCCTTCTTCCTGGTGCCATGCCTTCTGCTATTGTTTTTTTTGCAGTCTGCCATGGCACTTAATATAGCCAAAATATTTCAGCTTCCAAGAGAAGATTGTGTTAATTAGCCAATCTTCTCTGATGTTTAGATCTTTTGGAATGTCAGTATTTATTTTCTTCTTTGTCCATGGCATTCTGAGAATCTTTCTAAAGCATTTAAACCTAAAAGCCCCTGTTTTCTTTGTTAAGGACTGGGGAATAATCCACGACTTACATCTGTAGCTGATACAGGGAAGATGCATGCTCTCAAAATTTGAACTTTGATTTCTTTACTGGTGCTTAACCATAGACTTTTAATCCTGTTTAATCTCTGTATTGCTATGGCGATCCTCCTCTTGACTTCTGCTATTTTCTGTGGAGCCTAAATATTCAAAGTTTGTGACACTGTATTGCTATATACATTTACATGAAGTTTTCTGTTACATCATCTCAGTGTTTACCTTTTGACAGTGTTAACAATGGGACTACAAAAATTTATATCAAACTCTGTCCCATTACATCAGTGTTTTTATAATTTCTTTCTCATTATTTTCAGCACAGCTTATCAACACTCACCTGCAACCTGAGGAGGAGTTTGAAATAACATCTGTTGTTAAACATCCGCCAACAGTAATCATTTTTGGTCAAACCACATATGCAAAATCTCGCATTGTCAATGAACTTCTCAGTAGAAACATCTTCCCAGTATTGGATAAAAATTTGATTGCCAAACTTCGATTGGTCAGAATTGTTCATGGCACATCTAATACATTTGGTTGTTTGCAGCCGGGAGATAATACCCAACCACACAACCCAGAAACCAACAGTGAATTTCAAAATATGTTGGAACTCTCACATTTAGAAATTCATGAAACAGACAGACTGAAGAAAAGCAGCTTTGTGGAGTTGAAGGTGACACAGAATCATCAACTGCTGAAGTCTGGCGTGCAGATTGTGGTTTCTCCATCTTGTGAGGAAGATCAGGTTGAGGACGCAGTCAGAGCATGTTTAGAGAATGCCACACCAATAATTATTTATGGTTTTGCTAGTGATATACTCACTGAAGAGGTATGTGAATTGTTTTTTGTTTGTTTGTTGTTGTGCATCATTGTTTTGCCAGGTTAACATTTCTTCCTCTTCTGCTTCTTCTTCTTCTGCGCTCTTCTGAAAATGTAACTGAGTTGTGCCCGTACAACATGGCTGCAATATTTGTGCCTTTTCAGTTGACACAACCAACTTCTGCAGGCATTTGATGTCCAGGCTAGGTTAGCCTTCCAAGAGATTAACATTTAATTTGCTTAATTTAATCTAAAAAAAAGGATTTTTCTCCTTGTAACTTTGTTTAAATAACAGCAATTTGTAACTATTCATCTGCTCATCCTTATCAGTCTGGTGACAATAATTTGGATAGATAGCTATAGTGTCTTTTTAAAAATTAAACTTAAGACAAATTTGTGTTAGTATGTGACAAAATAGTTGTATTAGTTTTTACAAGTAATGCAGATTGTTTCTGTTTATTAATAATTGTGACTTATTTTTGTAAGCAAAACTAATTTTTTAGCTGTTGTACAATAATGTCTTTATAAGTAGTGGACAGTGGGAAAAAAAAAAAAAAAATCAGAAAATTAGCTTAATTGGAGATCCAGACACAGCAATGACAAAGGAAGTCTGTTTAAGAAGGAAGAGTTGTTAATTCGAGAACCGACATCACAGCACTCGGGGCATTCCCAAAAGGCACTCCCACCCCATCTTCAGCAGCCAGACCAGAGTTTCAATACCACTGGTGCCAGTAGCATTCTGATTATGCATTTTATTGCCTTTCCTCTGAGCGTCATGTATCAGCCAGATCCCCTTGTCACTCCCCACTGCATCACTCTGACCAGACTGTGGTGATCCATTTGCTCCTTCAAATTGTACACAGTCTCCTACAAGGCCCTAACCACACCAGCCTTGTCAGGCATCAGTGTTTCACCAAACTGTGCAAAGTCAGCCAGTCTGTCCACCTCTTTCATTTCCCAACACACCGGCATACCTGGAGAAAAGATTTAGACGGTGCTCCTCAACCGTGACCGCCGAAGTGAAGCATGCTTATCCTCACCTTCCTCAGCATGCTTTTTGAGTTTGTTGCAATCACTGTTTAAGAACATAAAAGTAAAATAAAGACCTCTTTTTATGCCGCATATTAGGCATATGATAGTAAAGTGAAAGTAAAGATCTCTTTTCACCCCTTTAGGCGCATTGGGTATATGGGAAGAGCACCCATATTTTCAGACCATTCAGCACTAGGTGGGTAATGTGGTCAGCATTACGCTGGCCATCTTTACTTCCCCAGGACAGCCATCCTGGTACCCGTTTTTAAGGTTGGGTTGACCTGCGACCCCCCATACCACGATAAAAATCCACGCAGCCAGTAGTGGGTTTCAATCGCGGTACGTTGGAATTACAAGTTGTACTCGCAACGCCTGAGCCACGGATGCCGGCAGGCATATGATGTTAGACATATGTTTATAGGCCAGTGAGCCCTTGATAGGTGATGTGGTGAAAATCACACTGGCCACATTTACTTCCCAAGACTTTACCTGGTATCCATTTTAAGCTGTGTTGACTAGGGAGTGTGATTATTGAAAAAGAAAAATCTGACTTGATGTGGATTCGAACCCAAGACATTCAGGATTAAGGTGAAGCACTGTTAATCATTTCACTCTGTAAAAATATTTAAATATGACTTTTTTTCCCAAAACAATTTTATAATTTCCTGAAACTTTACCCTAGGAAACTAGAGGAAGAGAAGAGGGAGGAGAAAATTGTTAGTCTTGGTAATTTTTGCAATAAAAATCCATTAGGTTGAAACCTATAAACAAAAAGCAAACAGGTAAGTGTGATGGCCACTGTGCCATCACTGCAGTCAGAATTCATATTAACTTTTAAAGTTCACTTTTATTAGCTAAATTCTTCTTAGAGAGTTAAGTTAGAGAGTTAATCGCTAACAAAATGAACAAATAATTAACTGCTTTCCTTCCCTTTGACCTTGATAAACGTGGTTTTGTTCATTTATCTACGTGGAGTAAAGTGGCATCATAATGATATTATAATGTGACACGGATATTAGTCTTAAAAACCAAAAATTCATTAGACGTGTTATTTTTTTTTTTTGGCAGTGAAATAACTTGGGCAATGATGTTAGATCATATTTTGCCAATTATTGAAAAATTATACAACCATTTAGAAGATTAAACATCCCCTTGTGGGTTCCAGGGCCCTTTTGGGGGGGGGGGGGGGGGTGGAATAGACACAACTGCCTACCCAAAGGCGTGTTGAAAGAGTCGACTAATTGGGAGCTTCCTTCAAAGTTGAAGTGCATCTGCAATGAACCAACGGTCTGCACACAAATGAGTTGGATCTGTAAAACGGATGTGCACACAACACTCAGGTTCTGAAACAGGACTGCAGTCCAGAAGTCGGCGAACAGCCAGAACTTTCCGCCATAATTTATAGCTGGTGAACGCAAAGAAGAAGAAGAGGATTCAACAGACTTTTTGTGACAATGCAATAGTGTGTGGTGGATGTGGTTGTTCAGATAAAACCATATAGTACAGCCTTTGTAGTTGGGTTGACTTGTGCTCCTGTTACACCAACATTATCTGTGGTCAAGCTCACTCTGAGCGTCAAGCCAGATATACATTTCTACTTCTTGCTCTTTTGGTCGCCGTGACCATATGTACATCATGCTTTTTGTAAAGTTTCTCTGATTTTATCATTCCATCTTGTTCATACTGTGTGTCTGTTTCCTCCTTTAGTGTATGCCTTGTATGGTATGGCGTCACAAGGCATTCTCTCTAAGTGTGCAAACTATTTGATTTGCTGTCCTTGTAGATATTTAGAATTGGTTCTTTGCGGACTTTTCTCCTATGACCTCATTCCTCGTTTTTGTTTTCTGGTCACTCCTGCGGCCCTTCTCAAACATCTAATTTCCGTGATTAGAAATTTTTTTTTTTTGGTGATTGACCATGTCTGGCACTGGTAAAATAGAGTGGGAATATATATGCTTAGAATAAAATGTTTCTTTTTGCTGATTGGAATTGTCTTGTGCTGTATGGGGGGGGGGGGGGGGGCGCTGTCTGTAACAATACTCGATTTGCTTTACTGCACCAGATGTTAATTCTACATCTAAATTTCTTCAGTGAATGTTGTTCCCAGACAATTAAGCTGAGGCCAAAGAATGTAGAATGTCTCTCTCTGATGTGGACAATCAGTTCTCTGTATGAGTCAGTTTCTTTATCTGTCCAGGGTATTCTCATCATTTTTCTACAAAACCATATGTCTGCCGCTTCCAAAGAATTATTTACTAATTGTTCAACTGTACATGATTTATTTCCATATATCAGGATAGGATTTATAGAGCTCTTGAGAATTCTCTTTCTCGTCTCAAGTGACAAAGACAGATTGCTTAGAATATTCTTGATTTTGTAAAATGCTGCCTTTGCTTGAGCTATTCTACATTTAAGTTCTGTAATTACAAATTCCATCTCTTATTTTCAAGGTTCTAAATACTTAAACATATCAGCTAGTTTGAGGATTGACCTATTAACTTTGATGCTGCATTTTGGCAGGTCCATTTTTGTGTCTTTTGCAAGACAGACTTTATGAGTCGCTGAGTGAATTACAAAAGACAGTGAAGTTCATACTAGAGACACAATTGCAGATTTAGATAATCTATTTCAAGTGAACGAAAGAAGAAGAAAAAGAAGATTTGTGTTTTTCTGCTATTTAGAGATATATTTGTTTTGACTTTCTGTTAAAATTATGTTTATTTCAGACAGTAGTGACTCATTTTCAGCTATCAAAACTGTATCATCAGCATATCACAGATTGTTTACAATATGCCTGTCAACCGATATTCTTGGCATGCCATGAATGGATCTGATTATTAATTCCACTGTACAAATTGAACAAATCAGGTGATAGCACAGAATCCTGTCTAACACCTAGATTAATGTTTTGAAAAATTCCAATGTGTTTCCTAATTAGTTGCCTTTTATAAAATGCTTGTTATTGGAAAGGGGGGTGGAGGCAGTGGTTCTGTGCACCCAATGGAGCACCAGAACCCACATGGGAAAGAATAGTGTTTAATAAGTTAGTTTTGAGGATATTATTTAGTTAGTTAGTTTTTAAGATGACTGTTCCGTGTGACCTGACATCAACATAGCTTGACCTTTGTGTAATGCCCCAGCATTAAACATGCCTGGATTGTTGCACACCTGTATTGAATTATCTTTCTTGTATGGGCTTGATTAGTTCCAGGTTCAAACAGAGAGCTAGAGTCATGCAACTGCATTAATAAATACTTTTACATGCACGTAGTGAAGACCAGCAGTGAAGCCGTGTTTCATTTTTGCTGTATCATGAAAAGCCTATCCAACCAAACAAAATGTGAACTAGTCAGCTTCACCTTATCACAGACATAAAAGGCAAGTGGATGTTGCGGCTAGAAAACCTTCATCAGCACATTTTATGAATAGAAGGTGTTAGAATAAAGAACAAGAATACCCACTATCACCTAATTGAAGTATCTCTGAGAGAAATTCACATGGCTGTCTTGTCATTTGTAGCTCTGCCATACCTATGAACACAGAACATGGATATTGGCCAGACAAGGGCTCTAACTCAAACATATTAGATTGATTGATCGATTGATTGATTGACATTCAACCCCACCAGGACATCACACAGAGTGATAAACGCCTGGTGATACAAAGTGCCATCCTTCGGATGAGGATTACCCAGGGACAGGTCCCTGAAACCCCATTCATTACATGGGCTAGGTTGTATTAGGGCCCCCGGCAACAGCAACAGTTACTAGCCAGACAAAGCTGACAGAAAAGGACTGTAACTCAATTATATTAGATAAAACTGTGGGACATTAAGTCCCTTATGCGAGTTGGAACCCATTAGATAGATAAGGCAGTTTTCAAGAGACTTACAAACACTGTCATTGTTTTAATTTTTGCTGATGCTAGCAGTTTTATGATATTATTTCCCCCCTCCCCCACCCCCATTTACTAGGGGGT